TTTGTGGAGCCCAAAACAAACATCCATTCTTTAATTCTGGATTTCACCCCAGTGAACTTTGTGGATTCAGTTGGAGCAAAAACATTAAAATCAGTAAGTTTTTGTTTATTTGTTTGTTTTTCAAAAACACAGATAACATGTAAATTAAGTTCCCACCAGGAAGCCTGTCCTGGGATGTAACTGTCAGCTGGGATACAAGACCAGTATCTCATATAATCACGGCTTTAATTCTGTAGCTCTGTAAGTTTCAGCTGAGTACTGGGGAATGTGGAAAGTGCAGCTCTCATGGTAACCAGCTTACATCTTCCAGAGCTGCTATGTGCACAATGCTATACCCGTGTTTAACTTTGGTTTAACTGTATTGCAGGTTATAAAAGAATACAAAGAAGTTGGTGTCTGTGTCTGCATTGCCAGCTGTAGTGGTGAGTTGAGCTTTTGTGTGACCTTTGTAGGAAAGACTATATTTCATCTCTTTTCCTCTGGCCTTGAATTTATTTTCTGCTGCCAGGTGCCTCAGTAGTGTCAGTGCTAATTTTGCATTAGAGTTGGATTTGGGGAAGAGCAAGCTCCTTGAGTCTTCACTTTGCTGGAAGTGAAACATTGATGTAATGAGTTCTCTGAGAACTAGATCTTGCTTCCATTTTTTCCAGCTGGCAAACTGTGAATGGTACACACACTGTAGCTTGCACTTGTTCTAATAATGTAATAAGAAAAGCTTGAAGTGTTCTCAGCTTCAATATTTGGAACTGTAACATCTTCAGCCAATAATGGACTTCTCTGTATAGCTAGAAAGGAGAATTACTTTCTTTTGTAGTAGAGGAGTAATGATTCGTCCGGATGTTTTAAATGTTTTAAATAGTGACAAGTAGGACTCAATAATTCTTGTCAGTGTCTTCCTGAGATACTGTTTTCCATCCTTGTACTTTGGTTTGTGCACTGATGCCATGTTTGTGTTTTTGTTTTTTTTTTTATTTTGTAGGCCCAGTAATGAATGAGCTGACCAGACTGAATTTTTTTGATAACACTGTAACAAGAAAGTTGCTGTTTCACAGTATTCACGACGCTGTCCTTGCTTGCCAAGTGAAAGACAGGTCTGCTTCACAGACTGCCTTGGACCACTGAAGAGTGGCAACTGGCAAAATGGACATAGAACTTATGCTGATAGAGACTTTCTTTGAATATTCAATTTGCACAGGTTAAAGAGTACCTAAGGCTGCCTGTACGTACGGGTATAGAGTGGGGCTTACTTTCTGTAGGAAGAATGGACAAAGAATTGAAAGCCTTCATGCTCTTGAATTTTTTCCTTCAATCAGGGTATAGCTGTTCAGTGACATGACCTCACAATTATGCAAGATGAGAGAAGTTATTGTATTATGCTACAATCTGATAGACAAGGTGACATTCCTATTCCTGTTGAGAAAATGGGCACTTTAACTCACTTGCAGAAGATAGCTGTTCTGCAGTTCCAATGTACTGTACCAATGTCTTTACAGAATTTTCTTAAACAGTTTTTAAAGCCTCATGTCAACATCTGCATACCACAGATTTATATAAACTAGTACTCTGCCAGCTGGATCAATGAATTCACACTGGTGACATTAGCTGCTGTTCTTTTTAAATCTTGATGGTACCATTTTGTTTTTTTAAATATCTAACCTGTCCCAAATGTACTGATCTCTTCATTGCCCAGTTATTTTCACTGTGAGTTTCATATTAGAAAACCTTTGTTTAATTATTATGTTATCAATATGGTACTTACACTGCCAAAACCATGTTATACCTTCTAGAAAATACTACAACACATTTTAAGCAAAAATTATGTTGTCCTCATGTTTGAAGACAAAAGTTGTGTATGCCAGGAATGAGGTCTGATAAAATGGACTTAAGAAATGATGCCCTATATGCAGTCTCTTAAGCTGGAATAGAAGGTTAGATAGAGCCTGAAGTCTCAAAGGTCCAAGAGAGAAGTACTTTTCCATTGCCTGAGATGTCTTTCTACCTACCAGCACAGCTGCTTCTGCCTCAGCTTTTAAGTGTTTGTGAAATAGATTTCAGTAGAACTCAAAAATGCATTTGGCTATTTATAATGAAAAAGTAGGTTCTTTTTTCTTTCTTTTTTCTTTCTTTTTTCTTTCTTTTTTCTTTTTTTTTTCTTTCTTTTTTCTTACTGTTTAACTTCAGGTTAAAACATAAAATTTGGAAACACTTCAAGCAAAATAATGCCTGTTATTCCCTGAACTATCAGTATGAAACTGGTTAGAGGTAGGAATCTGGAAGTGTTCCTCTGTGAGATATTTCAGTAGCACATGGGCAGTAGAGGAGGATCAGTGCCATTTTGTTTTGCACCCTCAAAGCAAAGGTCCTGTGCAAGCAGAAATTCAGATGATTTCCTCTCTTCTTAGTGCAGAACTTGCTACTTTTTATTTTGGTTCACACTGTTGCAATTATGGTTTGCTTCAGGCAAACCGAATTTCCCAAGAACCAGGGGCAACAGGAAGATGTTTTCTTTCTCCAAATGCCCTGCCACCAGGGATAGAAAGCTTTCTGCATCAGAAGATACTGCTTAGCTAGAGTTCAAAGTGTGAATGCACGTTAACACAGTGTGCGTTTACTTAAACAACTTTGGGTACATTTTATAATGTTTACTAGTTTGACAAGCCTTTGTATCTGCATACAGTATATATTTTTCTACTTTCAGCTTGTTGCAGCTTTGGTTTTTAACTATGTAGTCTCTTCTGTTCACATCAAAATCCTGTCCAATTCTAAAATAAAGTGATTATCAGTACAAGTCGAAACTGTCCACTTTGTCTCAGCAAGACACTGCATGTGGGACAAGCCAAGGACTGCAGGACTGCAGTCTGTTGTTAAGGGGTGGGCTGGGAAGGGTTACCACTGGTATAGAGGTCCTTCTGGGCATCAAATCCAGCATGCAAACATCAATGCTTCTGAAAAAGAAACCTAACAAAAATATGCATCTCTCTCTTGCTCATTTTAGCAGCCACGTACAGTCTAAGTTGGTCTTGGGAAGTAGTTGGTGCTGTTTTTCTTTCCCTTCTTCCTCCTACTTGTGCACATCTTCTGTTCTTTAACTAGGACTTTCAGAAAAGCTCTAGAAATGTTATGCCTACTTATGGTTCTACTTCAGTAATCTGTAGCTTCTGGGCAACTAATGCTTTTCCCAGGCAAGATACCTTTCCCTAAAAGTGGTCAGCTGTATTTTGTGGCATCAAATGAGCAAACAAGTGCGCACGTATATGTGGGGTTAGGTTAAAGCAATACAACCGTGCGTACACCAGATTTGATACTACCCTTCTGAAGGAGGGGACAATCTTCAGGTGAATATACAGGAAATCCTCCCTACTGGTGGGCTAACAGAAATTAAAGATGATGAGGGGGGAACCAAACGGATGTCTTCTTCACAGGTAGTTATGGACTGCATTACCCATCGTTCAGAGTTGAGGAAGCGTTCCCTGTGTTGGGGTTATCATCCTTTGCATTGCATTCTTCATAGCGGCTCTGAAGCACTTCCACAAATCATGCTGATGCAGATCTGCACTGAAGTTTGCTTGCTTTCTAGTGTTCAGGTTCCTGCTCCTCACCCTTCTGGCTTTAGCACCCCCATAGAGCCCTCTCTGCACCAGGCCACACCATGATGCAATTAATGCTGCTCTGCCTGGGTAACTGCTGAAAGAATGGATCAAAAGCCTTTGTCAAGGCCATCCTACATGTGGCCTGTGCAGCACTAGCACTGTGCAACTTGCTCCTGATTATTGCCAGCACTGTTGTAATCCATCCAGCAACATAAAATCTGGAAGCTTTTGTTGAGTCTCACGGTCGTGTGCTTTGCTGCTATCAGCTGACCCAGTGCTTCCTACTCCAGCCCATTACCTACTGAAAAGCTCATCTCCCCACTGCTGTTTAGATAGGATTTAAACTCTCAGTTATCTTAAGCTTGTCAGCACGTCAAACAAACTCACATCTTTTGAACTCAGGAGAGGGCTCTGCTCTTTCTCCTCTTCATTACATTTAGATCCTCACTGCTGCAACCTCACCGCAGCAAATAGCACTGCACAACCCAAGTCTGGGTTGATGCTGAGATGCTACTTAATTTTCAGAATATTCCCTTCCCCCATTCTCTGCAAAAGCACGAATTATACAGGATACCTGATCAGTTCCAAATTCTTTGTACATCCTTTACTCATCCTGCTCAAGCATTTAATTTCAAGCACTGTATTGATAATCTGATATTGAATCATTGCTAATTTCTGAGCCACTTTACTTTCTGGCTCAAAAAATGGCAACATTCTCTTCCTACCACTAAACCTGCACCCCTCTCCAAAAATGTTCTTACAAAAATAACCATTGAGATCAGTTTTTTGATCAGACATGGGCAAATACACCAAAATGCCTAAATTTGTTTATTAAGGCACTGATGCTTTGGCCAAAAGTCTAACAAAATCCATTCACTGCATACACTTTTCCTTCTGCATACACTTCTTTTATAAGAAAGCCTGATTTAACTTTTCTCATATTTAAGATGTAACAGTTCCCATAAAGCTTTACATTCCCATGTTCCTTCAAGCTTTTTTTCTATTTTCATGCAACGCTTGAAAAAAGAGAAAATGAAAGGCTTGGTTTTCAGTGACCAAGCTGCAAGAACATGGTAGATGAATAAAGATCCCCCTTTTAACGTTGTCTGCTACAAATGTTGTCTAACTGTAAGCTATGAAGGATGAGTACCCAGTCGAGGTCACCCTCTGTGTAAAGACATATCAAAACTTAGGAAGCACTGCAGTCACTTAGGAATGCTGTGGTGCCTCTACAGCAGAGATGATAGGTTTGGGGGTATAAACAGTGACTGGGGACCTAGCTCAACATTGCCTTGTTTCATGTTATGTACACCCTTTAAAAAATATATTGCTATGTTGTTAGACTTCGAGATTTCTTTAGCAGCAAGACTCCACTAAATGCAAAACTCATTCATAAGGAAATCCCACCTGTTGTTTGGAACGCTTCATTTATTTCTAGCTTCCAAGAACAAGCCAGGAGTTACCACATACATACAGATTTTGGTTTCACAGAAAATTGAACTGCAGAAGCAGGAAAAGCACTCCAAGATATCAGTTGTAGGTCATGTAGCGGGGAGTAGCGCTGAATTTTGCGTAGGATTTAATGACTTTGTTCACTGCCTCTAAGAAGTCTTTCTCAGTAGCAATTTTTCGGCGTGCTCGGATTGCAAACATGCCTGCCTCTGTGCACACACTGCGAATCTCAGCTCCTTTCAAAAAAAAAGGACAAATAAGTTCAACACTGACCACCAGTGGAGACGAAGCATACACAGAATGGCTAAATGAAAATTCACCTTACCTGTGCTATTAGGACACAGTCGAGCCAACAGCTCAAATCTTATGTCCCTTTCAACACTCATGGAGCGAGCGTGGATCTTGAATATGTGAGTCCGCCCCTGGAAAAGCACAGAAGACAGAAATGTTCACACTGTGAAAGAGGTGACGACTTGACCTGCTCTCAGTGCAGCTGTCCTCTTCCCCAGCAAGGGCAAATGGAAAATAAAATTCTTACTTGGTACCTGACTGTCGTTTCCTATGTCTGGACTAGAATAATTGAGCAATGGAATAATAACTGTCCATGAAACTGAATTACAAAAATATCTTAAAGAGCTCTACTGGGAGAAGTACTTCAAGAAAGCTCTCAAAAAGAACTAAATAACACACACTCCAACTTAAGATCTAAATTATAGAACCAGTTAAAGGATTATCTATTAAGATTGAAATATACAGCAAACATAAATACAGGTTCTTTGCCAGGGATGAAATCTGGGCAGCGTGAGAAAAGTTTCCTTGGCACATACTTAATCCCCCAACTTTCCATGGAGTTTCACATAAGTTAGGAGCGCTGCTTTCAGTAACTCTTGTAAACTGCATCCAGACAGTAATGAAACACACTGAAGAAACACTGATACCAGAAAATACTCGGCAGCGAAAAAAAGCATTCTGACCTCTAGATCAGGCAAGCTGAACTCTATCTTCCTATCCAACCTGCCAGGCCTCATTAGAGCTGGATCCAGAGTATCTGGCCTGTTTGTAGCCATCAGCACTTTGATATTGCCTCGTGGGTCAAAACCATCCAACTGGTTGATCAGCTCCAGCATCGTGCGCTGCACTTCGTTGTCACCCCCAGCACCATCATCAAAGCGAGCACCTGGACAGACAAAACACAGAACAGCAAAGAGACCTTCAGAGCAGGCAGATATCAAAGCTGCTGTGTGTGGGAAAGCAGGAGAAGAGTATTTAAATTACACACAAATATTTGTGATGAGTTGAAAGAAGATATGAAGGAATTCATTGAAAATAGCACAGTTCAAATAAAAAGTGAGTATCTGTCAGCTATAATAAGTGCTGTGTTTAGTGGGAAATATTAGTGATAGGTGGACAGTTGGACTGGATGATCTTGGAGGTCTTTTCCAACCTTGGTGATTCTATGATTCCACGATTCACCCTTAACATTAAAGGGCCCATTTCCCTGCTAATAACAGGCCAAACTGCTGAGATTTATAAATGGGCTGGATTTCTGTTTTAACATCTCCCCTCAACCAAAGTCTACTTTCTCAGGACTGAAATACTTCTTTCTTCAGGGGGGAGGGGATGAAATGTGATTTTTAGGTAGTAGTAAAGATTTGCCAAATAGTCTAGAACCTGAAGGGGGTTTCAGTTTACAGTACTTCTTCCAAACACAGATTTTTTTTTACTAAAGTTTAAGTTATCTGCATGTTCCAAACATGCTGAGATGACTTCTCATCTGGGCTAAATATGTCTTAAAGCTATGTAAGCCACTTCTTGACACCTTCTCAGACTGGGACATGCTGGTAGTAGTTTTGCTAAATATTTAGAGTATTTAGGTATTTACAAGCATAATTCTTGAAATGCAGCAACCAAGATAAAGAATTCAGGCACGAAAGGAAAATCTGCAATTTCTCCCATGAAGTCAGAGCTATGCATAGTACAGACATACCTCCAATGGCATCAATTTCATCAAAGAATATAAGACAAGCTTTTTTAGTTCTGGCCATTTCAAAGAGTTCACGAACCATTCGAGCTCCCTGAAAGCAAAATGAATCAAGACTTTGTTACAGACTCAAAGCATGTTAAAAGGAAAAATTTCATGCCTCCAAACAATTCTAGCTTCCAATGATAAAACTCTTTTACTAGTATAAATAACCAAACGTTCATAAATCTGATAGCAATTTATAGATGAGAGACGGATTACTATTCTTGAACTCAGAAAAAGTACAGATGACATCAGGGCCAACTGAAAAACAAGTGGTAGAACTGGAAACAAAATCCTCATTCCGAAGTCCTCCCATAACACAGATTACACTCCACACTGCAAAATTCATTCAATTGGTGACAACATAGTTCATGTGTTGTAACTGATTGCCCAATCTACATCCATCTGCCTGACAGTCCCTCTGCCCCCTTGTATCTCCAAGCATGCTACTATGTTCATCCATTAGACTTACTAGGGTGCCTTATCCCCAGGACTACAAGCCTGTGATTCACTCCACATTTCATTAAGAATTGGCTCTTACCTCTCCCACATACTTCTGCACCAGCTCAGATCCAATTACTCTGATGAAGCAGGCATCAGTCCTGTTAGCAACAGCACGGGCACAAAGTGTTTTGCCTGTACCAGGAGGCCCAAACAAAAGCACTCCTTTGGGAGGCTCAATTCCAAGGTTAACAAATCTTTCAGGCTGCAATGGTGAGAAACAGAAGGCAGCAGAGATTACATGCAAATTCAGAAAATCATCAGTGAAGAACAAAACAAACCAGGCTGGCCTGGATTTCATTTGTCAGAACTAGACCTCTTTTCCCTTGACATTTTACACACAGCTTTATCTTTTCTTGCTTTTTCAAATGCTAAAAGATGATCAGCATAGCTTTAAAACAATTAAAATTCCAACCTGAAGGTTACTTACGTGAAGAAGAGGGGTTTCAACCACCTCTCTGAGCTTTTCAATCTGCTCTTTACAACCACCAACATCACTGTAAGTGACATCTGGTTTTTCTTCCACCTGCACAACAAAAAGATAAGTGAGCAGTTAACACCTTGATGCAGCCTCTGTAGGCTTTCAACTGCCAAGAATAAAACTGTAAGTAATCAAAATTAGGAGAGAGAACAAAGCAAAGTAAAATAAGTAAAGGTAGTTCTTACTTGCATCATGGTGACTGTGGGATCGATCTTTGGAGGCAAGGGGATGTGGATTTGATACTTGTTTCTGTCCACTCTGGTGAGAAGGCATAAAGAACATTTATTTTAACAGCAGTTAATAAAACTGTCACGAACAACTAACTGCAAATTAGAAGAAACTGAATTCTTAAACCATTCTTTCCTCTGGCATCAAGATAACCCAGCCCTTAAAGCTAGCAGAATGGCTTGAGATCGGAATTCCTTCTGCAGAGGATCTTAATATTTCAAAAAATACTAATTCCAAAATATTTTAAAAACTAAACTTCAAAATATCCCAGAGAACAAATTGGCAAAATATTGATTCTCAAGATAATTGGCTTCATCTCTTCAGCAAACATTTCCTGCAGCTACTCTGTGTGTATCTGCCAAGAAGGCCAAGGTGGAAGCTTGCTGCTCAGGTTACCTGAAAGCAGGGACTATTGAGGCCCACACTGAAAAGTTTCAGTCTGGTGCACTGAACTGACTTTCACCAGAATGACATCAAACTCAAAATACCCTGAACACCGTGTGCAGATTAGCAACTGCCTTCCAACAGAAAGACCTTATTGGTATGATTTCAATCCCTGTGAAAATACCAAATGACAGTTGCTGATCTGCCAAACTAATGGATCAGATGAGAAGCTTCAGCCTTCAGTAAAACTGTAACACAAAGGATTTTGCTTACCCAACTCTCATGCCTTCTTCTATGTCAGTAGGTGCCACCTGGTCACTGAGATCCACCACAAATTTGGCAAACTGCTTGACATTGATAATGTACTTGGGATCCTCAGAGTCTGCATTGATTATCTTTGTACATCTAATACACAACATACAATTAACATCATCAGGAAAAGAATTAACTGCTTGCCTACTTGTGTAAGCATGAGGATAGAGATGGTGGATATACGCTCCCAGCACACTGAAAGAGCTACACAACCTGTGATTCCAATATTATAGCGTCATACAACGGTAACAGACGCACAAGTAGCACAGACATCTGTAAGGAAATGGTTTGGTCAGGGCTTGAACTAGTAACTGAGCACCTGGTGAAGGCGTGTGGCTGGCCTAGGGAGCAAGGCAAATTGTTTGCACTTGTGCTCCCCACATGACCAGAAGGGGCGGAGCCACCCTGGGTTCAGATTTGGGCTAGTCACTGAAGACAGAGCATCTCTTAGACCTAGGCTGCTTCCTGAGGAGTGCTGTACAGCCAGAGAGCTCCTTCACCAGCTGGGCAAGTTCAACTTTTCTTTCTGTATGAGACTGTTGGCCTACCTGCCGATACCTTGCCTGGTATTGCCAAGAACCTGTCAGAAGCAATTCTGCTTCTTCATAAGCATAACATCATGTATCATATTTTATAAACATTTTGTATGCTTTTTGATACAACGGTAAAAAGTACTTCCAATTTGCACAAAATATGACTCTTCTTCAAAAAGAAAAAGAGTTTGTGAGTTATAAATTGCTTTTTTAACACTAGGCAGCTCCACCATAAGGACAAAAAAAGAATGCACCCACCTGGCAACCTGTAAAGGCTGCTCACTTTGGAGAGTTTGCTTATCTGCAGCCAGATCCCAAAGAGCAGGAGGAGCCAGGCCAGTGTCGGATTCCTTAATTCCTGTGTACAACACAGACAAGGTGAGGTGGAAGAAGCAGCTGGTATGTCTTCAAACATCAATAACCTTACACACAGGCCACCAGGAAACTTCCTGAGATCTCTAATTAAATGCAAAAGCACAACTTTAGTGAACTTCAAGTTTCCTAAAGATACAAGACTATGCCAGCTGAATATGCCAGGCTACCAACACCACTAAGCTAACTGTTCTGCTATGCTTCTCTTCATTGGGCAAGGAGTGGCACCACTACTTACTGATAATTTGTTGACTTTCTGCAGTACACAGAAGTTCACTCATGATTCAAATGTAGATGGACACCCATAAGTTAACTAGTGACAGAGGATTTGTTTCACACTACTGTAATGAACAGGCTTACAATTTTAAATACAAATTTGTTAAACTACAAATGTATATGTGCAGCTTAGCCCTGCCCAATCAAAAGCAAGACCATCACCTACAAAATAAAAATTGCATGTTACAAAAATAAAGAAATGCAGCCTTTGGCAAAAAATAAAAATCATCAAAGAAGTGGTTTGAAATCAGCTTCTTCAAATACTCATTTTTGTAGCTCTTCTACTGAACACCATGTTAAGAAAGAAAAATACCAGTGAGCTCATTGATTTTCTTAAGTAGTTGTTGAATATCATCTTCTACTTGCTTGATCTGCCTGGAGTATGTGCTCTGGCCCTGGAAAAGAAACATCACATTGATTTTTGCAAATCAATAATTTCATGTTTAGGAAAAAGTGACAATAACTGCTGAGCATCAAGATATTCAGTAGATGGGTTTGGTATAACAAAAACTACTGATCACAGCCAAAGACAACATTGTTAAGCTCACATTATAACATTTCTGTTAACTCCGAGCAGGGTGCAGCTTCACAGTTCTGAGCATTGTGCAAGTGGAAGCTTTTTCACATCTTTACTCACAGATTTGTTTTTGCTTTTGAATTTGTTTGGTCTTATGTTTTTTTAACCATTCTTAAGTTTCAAAACAAGTCTTAGTAAAGATTACATACAGGAGTTCTGCAAACAGCACAGAAGTGAAAAATCCTTTTTGTATGAGTGCTTTTATTTCCTCCCCAAACTCTCTACCAGCCCCAAATATAGCAGAATCTTCACGGTGCACATCAGAAGCCATATTCTCATCTGCGATAAAATATTTTATTGCATCGCCCTGCCAAACGCAGGCAGACCTGGATTTGCTTTACAAGGTCCTCCTTGTATCAATTTGCTAAAAAAAAAAAAAAAAAAAAAAAGCCACAGTGGTCTCAATCTGTACTTCAAGGCCCCTAGTTGCAGGGTTGTACTATCAATATAATTCAGACTTCTGACAAGCATGTCCACATCCCAACATACACTTAGCAGCAAGTTTCTTTATCCTGAAGAGTTCTTTCATAGACCCGCTGTAGAATCGTTTAAGGTTGGAAAAGATCTCTAAGGTCATCAGTCCAACTTATGCCCACTAAACCACATCTACACATTTTCTGAACACCTCCAAGGATGGTGACTCCACCACCTCCCTGGGCAGCCTGTGCCAGTGCCTCACCACCCTTTCAGAGAAGAAACTGTTCCTAATACAACTGAACCTCCCCTGGAACAACTCAAGGCAGTCCCATCTCATCCTATCACTGTTACCTGGAAGCAGAGACCAACTTCACACCCCCCCACACAGCCTCCTTTCAGGCAGCTGAAAGCAGTAGTAAGGTCTGCCTTGAGCCTCCTCTTCTGCCCAGGGAGGTGGTGGAGTCTCCTTCTCTGGAGATGTTCAAGACCTGCCTGGATGCCTACCCGTGTGACCTGCTGTAGGGAACCTGCTTTGGCAGGGGGGTTGGACTCAATGATCTCTGGAGGTCCCTTCCAACCCCTATAATTCTGTGATTCTGTGATTCTTCAGACCGACCCATCCCATCTCCCTCAGCCGGCCCCCATCACAGCTGTGCTCCAGACCCCTCACAGCTCTGTTGCCCTTCCCAGGACACCCGCAGGGCCTCCACGTCCTTTAGCAGCGCTGTCCCACAGCCGCACGCAGCACTCGAGGTGCGGCCTCAGCAGCGCCGAGCGCGGTCAGCAGCGGACGCGCGTTACTCACGTAGGTTTTCAGCAGGGCGATATCTCCTTCATCCAACGCTGAAACAAGACAAGAAAGGCTTAAGTCGCCAATCATAAAGACAAGACAGAAGCTCGTTCCGAGACCGCATCTGCGTTTGTGCCTTTGCTGGCCAGGATCCCCGCGGCCGACAGCCGCCCTGCCCCGCTCCGCTCCGCGCCAGCCGCTTACCGCGGATGGGTTTGTCCTCCTTCTCCTCCTCCTTGGTCTTGCGCTGGTCCGCTCCCAGGTAGTCCGGCATGGCGAAACCTCCCAGCTCCGGAAGGCCGAGCGCTGCTGCGTAACGCTTCCGGGCCGCGCCGCCGCCTTGCCGCGGGCCGGCCGTTCCCTCCTGGCCTCACGGCGCGGCGGCGAATCGCGGGCCGCTCCCGGCTGCGCGTCGCACGGAGACGCGTTCCCTCCCCCCGGCGGCAGCCGCTCCCCTCGGCGCCGAGCCCCGCTTCCCCCCTCGCGGCCCCGCGGATCCCTCGCGCCGCCGCTGACCCGGAAGCGCTCCCTGGGCTCCTCCACGCGCCGGCTCCCGGCAACCGGCGAGGCCAGGCCGGCGGCTTCCGCGGTCGAGGCTCGGCGCGCGCTCCCGCCGAGCCGCCATGCTGCGCGGGGCGCACGAGGGGCAGCTGACGGCGGTCACCGGGGCGCTGACGGCCGGTAGGTGGGGGAAGGGCGGCCGTCCCGCGCGGCGCTGGGCTCCTGGGCGAAGCGGGGGCCGAGAGGGGCGGTCTCGAAGCGGCCGCCCGCGGAAGCGCAGAAGTTGGGCTTTAGAACCCAGCGGGGGGGATTCGCGTGCCGAGCGCTCGGGGCTTTCCTCGGGGTTTGCGCGTGAGGCGGCTGCAACAGGTGCGGCCGCTGGGGAGGGAGCGGCAGCGGTGCCTGGGAGAGCCGAGCCGCGTAACGGCTGTTAGCTGGGAGCGGCGGCGCTGCTCGGGGTTCGAGAACGCCGCCGGGTCTGTGGGACGGAGCGCCCGCCGTCCTTACAGCTTGGCGCGGCTGACCGGGCGCTCTGCGGCCGAGCCTGGGGCTCCCGGCATCCCAGCACGGGGAGATGTGGGGCTGCGTGCAGAGGGGGGCCGCGGGATGCTCAGAGGGCTGCGGCACGTCTCCTGAAGACAGCCTGCGGGAGTTGGTGTGGAGGAGAGAAGGCTCCGAAGAGCTCCTCCAGCCTTCCCTTGTGTGACCTTAGAAGCAGGATGGGACAAAAACTTCTTACGCGGACAGATAGTGTTAGGACGAGGGGGAACTGTGTGAAACGATCAGATGGGAGATTGGGCATAGAGGTTAAGGGGAAATTTTTCACGGATTGGGTGGTGAGGCACTGGCACCGTCTGACAGCGGAGCCTGAGCTGGTACCTGGTGTGGTGCCTGATTCGGTGGGTACCAGCCCTACCTGCAGCAAGGGGGTTGGAACTCGATGGTCTTTGAGTTCCCTTCCGACCCAGCCCTCTTTATGATTCTGTAACTTGGCAATCTGCAGCTTTGTGTCATGTAGTACTTTGATGGTACTTTAACATCAACAACAAAAAAGTAAGCCACAGAAGGTGAAGTTGCTTTTGTGTTTTTGCTTATAGCATCAGTGCTCTGTCAAGTGGAACCTGTGGGAAGATGGTTTGAAGCATTTATTAAGAGGAGAAACATAAATGTTTCTGCCTCTTTCCAGGAGCTAGAAGATGAAAAGGAACTTTCTGAAGAATCGGGGGATGAGGAATTGCAACTTGAAGAATTTCCTATGCTCAAAACACTTGATCCCAAGGACTGGAAGGTATTCTGTTGGCAGTGACACTGCTGTTTTGGTTTGTGGTTTGTTTGTGTGTGTTGGTTTTTTTTTTTGCTGGAAATCTCCTGACAAATTTACCTGCCACTCCCAGCCGCCCCTCCTTACCCCAGTCTGAATCTTTCTGTGTCTGTCAGCATTTGACTTGACTGGTTTTGTGTTTTCCATGCGTAATCAGTTGAGGACAAACTCAAAACTGCATGGGGTGAGGGCTTAGTCTTCTATATTCTGGAGTTTTGCTTAGTATTGACACAGCAATTCAATCAAACTTACTAGGATCCAATCCAATACTTAAATACTATTTGGGTTGAGGTACTGGAGTTTCTTTAGCAACCTCTAAAAAATTGTTCCTATGGGCTTTTTCGAATGTTTATTGTGAGAGAGAAGAATCCTGCCTTTTGTTTTAAAGATGTGCTTTATTAAAGATGTTGCTTTACATGTGTTGTGGCTTCTTAGATCACATATGTCAGTGTTTACTAGAGCTCTTTGTTCTTTGTTCCTCAGAATCAAGACCATTATGCAGTTCTTGGGCTAGGAAATATACGATATAGGGCTACTCAGAAACAAATCAAAGCAGCTCGTAAGTATCTTTCCCTCATAAGCATACTCTTCTTTCAGAAGTACAGCTCTGTTTTCTACATACAAGTTCAAACATGTCACAAAGAAGTTTTTTACTATTTTTACAGACCTGCTCTTTGATTCCAATTGCTTACCAGCCTGTAGTTTCACTTCACAGTTCTGAAATCCACAGGCCCAAAGCGAGTGAAATGGAAGATTCCACTGAGTTCACATCTTGTTCTCTTATCTCAAGATTTTTGGTTAAGAACAAACAAACTGCAGCAACAAAAAACAAGCAGGCAAACAAATCCCAACACAGGCTGTAAATTTATATTTTTGCATTTTGGAGTCTGCAGTCAAGCTCAGTGAAAGGTTGAGAAATATGTCTGGCCCTGCCTGTTTCAACAAATTGTTACCTTCAAGCCCCCTTACAATTGTTAACTGCCACGTTAATGCTACTGAATGTTTAAGAAGCATAGATACTGCTGTTATCTTCCCAAGTGGTAGGCTCAGGCTTTCGTGGGAACAGAGTGATAACTGTTAAATTTTCATGCATTTAAATATTGTACTAAAAGTAATTCGGACCTCTGAGAAGTTCACTTGTGCTCTTCTTTGGTCATTTTGCTGTGTGGTAAGTGTAGAGCTCCTGTTGCTGAGTGCTGGGGATATTATCAAGCCGTTAAGGATGTGTTCTGTAAGGTTGCATTCCCTTGGTGTTTCAGATAAGCAAACAATAGCACTAGGAAGTGCAGTGTGCTGCTTAATGGTAGCATGGGCCTGTGTCTGAAATCATGAAATGTGAAGGTTCACAAGTGCACAAGGGTTATCAAGGGTATTTTATGGTATTTACACACCAAGAAACATGTCAGGCTTCAGAACTTTTATTTCTAGAAAGCAATGTGGCCAAGAGCTGACTGCAAATATTTGTTTGAAGATTGAAATTGACTGTTAAATTCTCTATGAAATAAGCCAACAGCTTTGTGAATTTATCTTGCAAACTGTTACATAAAAAAGCTGTCTCTGTATGAGTAGAATCACTGTCCTCAGTTAAACCACAGGTGAAGGCTAAGTTACTCGCAAGTGGGTAGGTTTCCTTTGGGCTCACTTGACTGAGCTAAGGCAATGTGCCAGCCTGTCGCCTACCAGCAAAGCCATGGCGAGCAACTGTGTGGTCACAGACAGCACAAAAATAGAAATCATTCTTCACTTACAGCTTGGTCACATTACCTTGTGTTTGGAACTGGCTTGGGCAGCACATGTAGCAAGTTATTGACTTGTACAGAAAATTATGTTGCAGTTGGTACATGGCCATATGTTGGACTTCTTAGCAGTGCCACTGTGGGTCCTGTGTTAGTACTGCATAGAGCAACACCTGGCCTCACTAATGTTCTTGAGCAAGAACTGGGGCATCTCTCTCCTGATGATTGTAGAGCTCTAAGACAGCCTTGATAACAACTTCAGATGACATTCTAAAGATAACCATAAGTTATCTCTCAGGATTTAAGGCCTGAGTAGAGAACTTGACCAGAAAGACGTGTGTGTGTATGTGTGCGTGTGTGTTTGTGCTGAAACATTTCTGAATGTTATGCATCTACTTGCCAGATAAATCCATGGTTTTGAAACATCATCCAGACAAGCGAAAAGCTGCAGGAGAGCAAATAGGAGAAGGTGATAATGATTATTTTACGTGCATAACTAAAGGTAAGTCATTGACCTCCTTTATGAGATTTGTCTCTGTTGCTACTTTTAAAGAACTGTACAAAGCCAAAGACGTTCTCTTCTGTTTTGGCAAACTTCTTTATCAGCAGCCATCACTGAAATGTAACTTCTCTTTGGGTGGAGGCAGTATGGAAATACAGCTGACCGACCTTTGCCCCTTGGTGACAATGCAAAACTTATTGTGAACTCTTACAACAGTGTATGCAAGGGTGAACCACTAGAGGTTGCCACACGCCTAGAATAAATGAAACACTGTAAAAGAATTCCTGCAGGACACCAACTGCAGTAGAAAAAGTCAGAATTCTAATGCTCTTAGTGTGCCAACAGTGTCTGTTGATTTCAGCTGGGATATCGGTTTTCTCAGACGCTCGCTTTTGCCCACAGATGACCAAGTGCACTCAATGACATTTCATTCCTGCCTGCAGTGACCTAGAATGCTCTTGCTGGCTAATGGCAGAAACTTAGAGATTAGTTTAGGTATAGCCAGACTTATGCTTCTGGTAGTGCTTTTATTTTTAAACAAATGTTTTCAATCAGTAAGGGTAGGGGAGAGCATCTTCTAATCCTTCCAAGCGACTTGTTCTTGCTTGTTAAAATGTTAGGAAATGTTATGTTAGACGAGCTAATGATGTTTACAGTCTTCTATAGAGCTAAGCTACATCTTTTCAAAAATGAACAATGATTGTGTGGTTGGGGCTATAACAAAGGAGACAGGCTCTTTAACAGGGTCTGTTGTGATAGGACAGGGGGAAATTGATTCAAACTAAAAGAGAGGAGATTTAGACTGGATACTGGGTGAAAATCTTTTTTACAATAAGGGTAATGAAGCACCAGAACAGATTGCCCAGAGAGGTGGTGGGTGGCCCACCATAGAGCCATTTGAGACCAGACTGGGTGGAGCTGTGAGCAACCTGATCTAGCAGTAGGTGTCCCTGTTCGCTGCAGGGGGTTGGGCTAGATGACTTTTAAAGGTCCCTTCCAACTCAGACAATTGAATTGAATTGACTGAAACCAGACTTTTTTGAGATTATGTTAACAAATACCAGAATAGTTGTGACTTTGTTTCAATTTGAAACAGGAAAAAAAAATCCTAATATCTGAAAATTAGTAGGGAAACCTATTTTCCACCTGTTCTAATTATTTACTTGCCTGTATTCAGCTGTTGGGAAAACCAGCTTCAAATGGAAAGTGAGATCTTCAGGCAATATAGAATTGAATACGAAGTTCTGCTGCTGCCTGATTAGCCCAAGAAATGTT